AGAGGTAACTGGTGGTTTTGAACTGCTGACCTTTGGGTTAGCAGACGAGCGAAGAACCAAGTAGGGGCTGTTATAATTACAGCTGGCCAGGTCACAGGCCCCACAGAGGCTGGTCCTGCAGCCTGGGGGCTGAAGCCCAGGGTTCTGGTTTGGAATGGCCAACCCAGAAGAGGTCCGTGGGCCTTGCCCGGCCTCTAACTGGCTGGAGCGCTTGGGTCTCTAGCCTTCACTCCTCTCCGTGGGAATGTCAGAGAGGTGGGGTGGCACTTTCCAGTTTCCCTGCACCCAGTAAGCTCCCTTAGTCCACAGAGCAGCCCCCAAGAAGAAAGGGCCAGCTGCCCTCCCTCCCGCTAATCTGCCTCCACCCCCCACAGGTGGGCGTGGTCAGTGCCTTTGCCCAGACCCTTCGGCGGTACACTTCTCTCAACCACCTGGCACAAGCTGCCCGCGCGGTGCTGCAGAACGCGTCCCAGATCAACCAGATGCTCAGTGACCTCAACCGCGTGGACTTCGCCAACGTGCAGGTGACTTTCAGAGCGCCAGTCCCCGCGGCGGCCCTCCCTACCCCGGGTGCGTGAGCCGCACCGGCGGGATCCCCGCCCACAACCAAGCCTAGTACCTAGCACCCGTGAGGCGCTTGGAGCAGGCGCGGTTGCGTCCCCTATGTGCGCGCACTCCAGAGAAAGACGGCTTGAAGCAGAACACAGAAATACTCCTCATTGTTGAGTTGGGGGTCCCAGTGCAGCCCGCACCCACTTGTCACCTCACTCACTGCTGTACAGCCCAGTGTACCATCACGCATTCACACACACACACTCCTGTGTCCCTGCACCCCTTTCTGAACCTTTCTGAACTTGGCCCTTGGGCAGAGGACGCCCTAACCAGCGATGCTTCGAAGATGTGCAAACCTGACTCGTGTTACTGTTCCCTTTACAAGCAAAACAAGAAAGAAACTCTGCCACCGAGCTGATGCCGAATCACAGGGACCCTGCAAGACGGGGCAGAACCACCCCTGGGGGTTTCCAAGACTGCAAACCCCCCCTCTCCTCAAACCCCCCTGGCCCC